AAAGAAAGAAAGAAAGAAAGAAAGAAAAAATTATTCTTTGCATTTTAGTACTTCTAGGTTAGGTTTTTCAGGAATATTTGTTGAGAGCATATAGCTGTTAACAAGTATCAAAAAAGACAGGTATAGGATGGAAAGTTAAGTGATAAACAGAACTCTACAAAGCCAGACATTAATGCAGTCCTACAAGTGTTTTAACTGTATCTGCAAGGCTGAATTACAAACAAGTATCTCCAGCTCTGAAAGTTGTTTTTTTTTTTTCTATTTTCTTTTATCATCCAGTCTTTTGAAATTAACACACTGAGGAGCCAAGTGGTAGAACAGCAGTAACAGTAGTAACAGTAGTCCAACTGGACCCATCCGGGAAGATCCTGGGTTCTCATACAGAACTTTCTGGTGCACACCAGACACATACAGCTGTGCCAATGATCCGGGATGGCTGAAACTTACAGAGGGGTGGGGCTGGGGGGTGTGGCACTTGGGCATGGTCATGAAGCGAACACTGGGTTGGGGGTACTTGTCTCTCTGCCCACCCTCTGTCTCTCTTGGTGTAAATTAAAAGGCAAACTTAAAAGGAATAAAGGAGGGGTGGCAATTGGCATGGTAGTTAAGGGCACTGGACTCCCACATGGGTAACTGTAGTTTGAGTCCCAGACCTGGAGGCTGGCTTTCTCACTTTCCATTTCTCCCTCTGTCCCTCTCTGGTCAAAGGATAATAAACAAAGAAGTAAATAAATAAATAAAGTTAAATATAATAATTCTTTAAAAGAAAAAAAGGAACAGAGGAGAGGGGATTGTGGCATGACTACATCCCATGCAGGTATTTTCTCCCTTCTCCCATCCCAGTTCTCTCTCAGAAGCCCTTGTGATGATTAAAAAAATAATAATAAAATTGTACATGATACTCTGACCCCATAAAAATCTGGAAATCCTTTCCAAATTTCCAAGAAATTTCTTCTTTTTATCCAGCCCTAAAATAATACACTGAGTCTACTGACCCAATAAAAATTTAGATTTTTTAAATTTCCAAAGATTTTTGAGAAATAGCCATCTTGGCAGAATTTTTTAAAATTATATTTGAAAACCTAGAATGGGTTATCAGAGAAACTTAAGACAAATACAAAAAAAATCCATGAGTGTATATTATGTAAATCAATCATTAACCTAACTATTGATCCATGAGATACCAATATTCAGAGACTGATTGTCTGCTTTTTCTCCTAAGCCTTTATAAAACGGGGTAATGACCCTTAATTTATAGAAATAATTTTTAAAGAATTATTCATTTAATTTTACTTATCATTATTATTATTATTTTAATTTGCTACAGGGCATGTATGTTCACAAGAGAGAGAGCAGGCGCAAGCAAGCAAGCAATTTGCCATGTCTAGGACTTAAATCACATTCAACCATGTGTGAGTCCAGTGCTTCAACCACCACGCCACCTGCTGGCCCCAATGTATAGAAATATCTAAAAGTACCACTAAAACAAGTTTTTGCTTTAACCCCTTACTCTGTAACATAGTCTCAGAACTTTAAAATAAAGTTTTATATTTTCTTTAAACATACACCAACCTCTTCTAATTCCCAGTTCTTATAATAAAAATTCAAAAAGAATGGGGTCTGAGAATAGAATTTTTTCAATTCTCAGAGTATAAATATCAGGAAAAAGTTTGATCC